TCTAAGGCGTTCGACCAGGTGCGCCCTTCCGCGCTGCTGATTGCCCTTGCCCGGTTTGGCTTAACCGACCCGTGCATCAATGTGATCGCCGCCATGTGCGATGGTCGCGCGTTTGAGGTGAAGGACGAACATGGCAGCAGCAACCGGCACGCGCAGGCCTCCGGCTTCGCGCAAGGGTGCCCCTTGAGCCCGTGTTTGTTCATCATTATGTTGAGCGTGCTGATGGGTGGTTTCGAACAAGATGTTATTTCGCGTATCGGACGCGCGCGCGCTGATGCCTTCAGCGCCGATGTGGCGTGCGCCGACGACACGGCTCTGGCGTCGAATGACATCGAGAGGTTGCAGTATTCCTGGGGCCGGCTGATTTTCGGGGCCCACATGTACGGGCCGGGGCCCAACTGGGGCAAGACCGTGCACTTGCGCGTCCGGCGCAGCGTGGGCATCCACGCGCCGCAGCACTTGCCGCTCAAGACGGTCGCCTCGACGGTCTACCCGGGCAGCCCCCTGCGGGCCGACGGGAAAACAGGGGCCTCAGTTGTCCGATGGGTAGGCGAGGCTCGCGCGTCTTTCGACGCGCTGCAAACCGTCTGGAGGCATGCCGACGTCAGTAGGGCCAGAAAGGTTCAACAGTTTGACGCTTGCGTCGTGTCTGAACTTACGTGCAGCCTAGAAACACTGTGTCTGCGAACAGCAGACAGGGTTAAGATCGACGCTTTTCCAAGCCCAGTCTTTGCGAGATATTTCTAAGATTTTGCATTCGATGATTTTACATTGCCAACGCAGAGGTGCGAAGCAGAGCGCGTCGTAAATCTCAGGCCAGCGCGTGCTGGTCAAACAGTTGTTGTAGTTTGGAGAGATGTCCGCCATGCCCGACGAATCGCTGTCTCGCCAGGGTGTTTTCCAGAACGGGAACTCGCGTCTCCTCGACCCCGGGAGGCGCCGCAGAGGACGTCCTAGACTAGAGTGGGCGTCGGTCATGCACGCGCGCGCTCTGACGATTGCAGCGTGCATGCACGGAGGGGCCGTGAGCCAAGAGGAGGCCGCCCGACAAACGCTCGGACAGAGCACGTTTAATCGCCAAGCATGGAAAGAGGAAGTGTTGAGGTATTGTTTGATTTGGGAACGCACCGCCCGGGCGTCTTGTGACGCATTGCTTATACTTTGTTCTATTATGGGATGAATTATAGAATGCTCGATTGTCGCCCCAGCCCTCCAGCCCACGTGCCCTCGGGTGGTGCCGTCGTCCCCTCTTCCGCCGTCCTGTGTCGCTCCTCTACCTGCTCTCCCTCCTGCTCGTCCCTCGGGCGGTCGTCTGGGGCTTCGCCCTCCTCCCCTCCTTTCGGGTGTCGTCGCCTGTCGCTCGCTCCCCCCCTTCCCCGACGCTGGGTTCGTCCTGGTCCCGAGTGTCGTTCCCTCCTCTGCCCCCTGCTGCCGCTGCTCTTCCGGGTCGTCCACCTTGTGGGCCTCTTGGCGGGGTCGGGCATGACCGAGCAGATTTACGCATCATCCCAGCTGGACCTGGAGTGCGGTTGTGCGTACACTCGATCTGCAACCGATGTGCCGTCTAGGCACGGTTCCTGTCTGGCTGTCTGTCTGTCTGTCGCACCCCGAAGGAACGTTTTTAGGGCGGGCCGGGCGTTTCGTTTGAAATTTCTTCACCATTTAGGATTCTGAAACTTAAGCATGGGCAGCAATTTCACATATGGAGGGCGGCTGGAATTCAATATGTGGCTCTCGTTTTGGCGCCGCGCACATTCGTATTGAATATTTGCAGGAGCTTCGCAGATTGAGGGCGGGTGGTTTTCAAAATGTGGCTCTCGCCCCAGCGCCGCGCGCATTCGGTGTAAACTTTAGCAATAGTTTCGCGTATTGAGGGCGGGCAGTGTTCAACATGTGATCTTCGCTTTAGCGCGACTCACATTCGTTAAACAAATCGCAAGAGTTTCACGGGTTGAGGGCGGGCCGTTTTTTAAATGTGGCTCTCGCGTCAGCGCGGCGCTCGCTCGTTGTAAACATTTGAAATCGTTTCACGGATTGAGGGCTGGTCTTTTTCAACATGTGGTTTTCGCCTTAGCGCGCGCATTCGTTTTATAATATTCCGATATACGGCGTGAGTGCGGACCGTGTTCAAAATGTGGCTCTCGCTTCAGCGCGGCGAACATTCATTAAAACAGAAATTGCAAGAGTTTCGCGGATTGAGGGTACACATTTTTAGTGGTAATCGTAGTAGTAGCAGTCGCAGTAGTTGCGGTAGTAGCAGTAGTAGCAAGAGTAGCAGTAGTAGTAGTAGTAGTAGTAGTAGTAGTAGTAGTAGTAGTAGTAGTAGTAGTAGTAGTAGTAGTAGTAGTAGTAGTAGTAGTAGTAGTAGTAGTAGTAGTAGTAGTAGTAGTAGTAGTAGTAGTAGTAGTAGTAGTAGTAGTAGTAGTAGTAGTAGTAGTAGTAGTAGTAGTAGTAGTAGTAGTCGTAGTAGTAGAGTAGTAGTAGTAGTAGTAGTAGTAGT